TTCCCACCTTGTTCTCTGAGGTGTCCCGACCTATTGGAGACGAAGAGAAAAGACGGATGAGGTCCAAGATCATTTCTTAGAATCTTGAATAGCATGACTAAGTCTCCCTTCTGTCTGCGATAGGACGAAGTGAAGAGGTTCAGCTCCGTAAGTCGATCTTCGTAAGTAAGGTCTGCGTCACCTTTCAGATAAGGACTAACCACCTGTGCACAGTTTTCTAACCTAAACCTAAATAAGGATGTGTGCAAGATGGTGAAAACATCACCACTCATTTTCGTAAACGTTCTACGTAATGCCCTAAGAGTCCCAAAACTCCAAGCTGCTACCGGTTGACAGTGTGCCATGGTTCTCAACTCATAACTCACTGTGACTCCCGGGTCATTGTGGGTCAGTACTGACGGTAGGGGAATCCCGTCAGTATCTCAGGTGTTGCTGTGTGTGTGCTCTAAGTGCATGCCCACACATTTATCTACATTGATGGGCATCAGCCACTTCTCTGACCAGGTAAGCAGGCTGTTTAGGTCTGCCCGAAGCGCACGCACATCCTCGCCTCTTCTAATTTCTAGCCAGATTTTCACGTCATCAGCGAAGAGAACCACATGAGATTTCGCAATATTTGGCAGCTAATTTGCGTGTGGGAGAAACAGCAGAAGACCCAGGAACGTGCCTTGCGGTACTCCACTCTCTACCGACTTCCAAGTGGGGAGTTGAGAATTGACCCTTACTCTTTGCCTTCTACCAACAAGGAACTCTCCTACCCATACGAGCAGACTATCAGTGCCTTCAAAACCTTCCAGTTTCTCAAGCCACCTGGAATGAGGTACCTTGTCGAGTGCCCCACTGAAGTCTATGAAAATGACATCTACAGGTATCCTATCATCTTCACACTTAACCCGACTTTCGCTGACCGTATGGGGGTTCGTCGAGCAAGAGAAATTTCTACGAAAGCAGTGCTGCGAATGAGACGACAGATTGCTGTTCTCTAGGTGAACCACGATGGCTTTCTTGATTACTCTTTCTAGGATTTTTACCACAGTACTAGTCGAACTCATCGCTCTGTAATTTGATGGAAGCTGCCTAGAACCTGACCTGTGGGCAGGTGTTACTTCGGCATCCTCGCAGCCATAGGGGAGTGTGCCACCACTGAGAGACTGCCTGAACATAGTAGTCAATGTGCCAGCTGCATAGAGTGCAAGCTTTCTTGGCAGCCTTGGTTGCGGTTCATCCGGTCCCGCTGATTTTTCCACGTCGAGATTACTCAATATCCGAAAAACATCATTGGGACCGATATACACAGAGTTCACTCCGATGGATGCCAGCGCTTCCAATGTTGAACAAGCGTCCACAGAATATTTTTATGTGAAGACCTCAGTCATGGCCTCTGCGTTTTCCCTATCATCCTTAGACAAACAGTCAGTTTCGGTCCCACTAATTAGGGTGGATATACCAAGGCGCATCTTATATCTATGGTTCATGTAGGAAAATAACCTCTTCGGATGTTACAATGCGGCCTGGGTAAGGCATGTTTCAAAGCATGTCGGAGACCGGTGGATAGCAGAGACACATTTATTTCTGGTTAACGTGCAGTGCTTTAACACTTCAGGTGTACCAAGGCGGGTGGCAAGACTCCAACAGATTTTCTTACGTCTTAGCAAGATTCGGATTTCGTAGTTTATCCCCTCAGAACAGTTCACCCAATGAATGGTTGGGTCACTCCTCCATATAACTGTTTGAAGGAGCAACACATACCTTCAACTGAGGCTTCCGGACTGACTGACAAGTCCTCCAAAAAGCTGCCAGGTTAATAGCTTCCGTACTCACGTTTCACATTTTGGGTCTGGTCGGGGCGTCGGCCTGGTACAAGACATCTGTGAGTCTGAAGATGATAACAGAGTGATCTTTAACAAGGAGTGCTAGGTGCCGGATGAGGCCCACTTCATCTTTACGTGAGAATACTGAGTCTAGAACTGATGAAGCATGCTGACGATCGTATCTGGTTGGTGTCCTAGTGTGCTGAATGACGGCCAAGGAAATTGACGTTTCCACTAACCCGTGATCAAAAGTGTTACGCGGTGCTTTTGTTGTCAATCTATCCCAGTCGACTGATAGTGCCTTGAAGTCTTCTGCAACTGGGCATTAGAATTTACCTGTCCAGAAGGTCAGGTTATTCAGTAAGGAGTCTAGAGCCTCACACCAGGGGGTTCGATATATCACGATTACGTTAACATCTTGTCCCTTGCATTTTAGTCAGCAGCGCAGCATTTCACATGTCCCACTTTCATGTGCAACCGTTTCTATAGCTTTCACAGTTAAGGCATTCCTAACCACCACCTTTAATTGCTAACCGGTCGCTTCCAAAAGGGACGAATCCTAGCAAGTAGGTTTCACAGCCACCGATGAAGGAAGAGAGCCGAGTTTCTGAGGTAGCAATGATGTCAGGACTCTCGCTGCTTATTACAATACTAAGCTCGGTCCACTTGTTTAAGAGGCTACGTGCACTTGTGTGCAAGACGAGACTACTTAAATAAGCTTCCATCCTGTCCATAGAGGCTCCGGCATCATTTGTTGCCGAAAGCTCACAACACGGAAACCCACTATTCTCAGATCTTGCTCTCCAGCTGCTAATCTGGATTTTGGTTCTGCTTCTGTTTCTCGTTTTTTGATTCGACCAGCGAGAGCCAGATCCTGTTGTGCAAACACTCTAGATCCTAGAAGTCTGTGAGCATTCTTCGGAGTCTGATCCCTCATATCTGCTGACTTGAAAACAACTTTAGGTAGCCGAAACTTTTTTTCAGTAATGACTGTCTCCTGTTTGCCCACTCTATATATCTTGAGAAGGGCGACTCCTGGCATCTTCCCGGTATAAGCTGGTTTACCAAGCGTTACACCTTGCCAAGGTCATGTTCGAAACGTTTACGCCTTTCTGGGTCTCCATTTTCTCCCACTCTGCGGAAGATCACTAACCCGTCAACGATCTCTACTGTCTTTGCTCTGTGTAGTGATAATAGCTGGCTCGATGGCCGTTATTGGCCTCTTAGCATGTCTTTAGACTTAGTTACTTGCCACTTTCAGATTCTGGTATGCAAGGTCTGCCAAAGTCCACTCCAGAGGCCTTGACGCTGAAAACCTCAGAACGGGCTTGCATCCCATTCTGTTTGATTCTTGTCAATGATTGGGTCGTCGGTCTGGTTATGAGCTGTGGCCTGTATGGTTCCGTAGTTAGCACTGAGAACGCTGCACTCCCGTTTCTTTCATCTGAAGCAGACCTAGTCTTGTGGTCAGCAGTTTTCAGACTGGGTCTGCCAGCTCTGGGGATGTGGGAACCAGAAGATACCCGCTTCGCCCGGTTTAGTGTAGTTTTTTCTAAGTCTCTGTCAGTAAACCCAGCAGGTAGTCCACGCATCTGACTTTCAGCTTGTCGTCGGACGTCCTTCAAATTTTGCACAGCAATTTGTGTGTCAATAGATGCTGCGTCGTCATCACCATCACAGTTATCGACTTTGACTTTCGACGACAGTTTTTTAGCTGTCATATTTAGAAGTATTTTTGCCTCTTCTACCAGAGCACGAATATCCGAGCGGCACACTGTACAGAGCCAGGCACTTCCTGCGTTGCTGTACCTCTCATATGCTGAGGGTGTGAGGCTTGTGCAACTGCCATGGAACCAACTCTTACATTCGCTGCGTCGCATACCAGAGGTCACTGTGAAGTGGCACCTGGCCATACCACAAGTATTTTGCGACACTCCTGGTTCACCATGTAGCAGAAATTACGAAATTCACACAGTAAAAGTTTCTGTCTCACTGTAATCAAATAATATTCCGATTACAGCAAAAATACAGAAGCCTTTGATGTATAAACTCAAAAGATGCCAAGAGTCTAGCTGAACGTGAAAAGTCACCCCCTTTTCAAACAGCGTGCTTAGCTGTTTTGTGTTGGAGTAGCGGGTAATGGGAGTAAATGTCTCACAGATTTTATGTCACGTAGAGGGTAGAAGCACACACCATACATTAAATGAGAGGAACGATCAGTACCATCCCCTTCAAAAGGGAGAAAGTAGAAAACATCGGATGCGCATTCCTGAGGATAATGAGCAGCTTGATTAAATGTTGGTCTACATCACAATGTAGCACACAGTTTACTGCCTTCTAAGATAATCTTACTGTGTGGTTTCACACATTTTCAGGCACTGGTAGTATTTATGAAACCGTTTTTCTTGATTTATAGGGGCTACTGGATTCATCTTTATCCTTTCTTCTATTCAGAATGTAAGTGCCCGCGCGGCCTGCTTAAACGTTTGTCCAACTGGTAGGCTTAATTTGTTTCCGTTTGTGCTACGTCACACATGGTGTTTACCCACTCACGGAGATTAATGGTAATCCTGAATGCGGTTAAATACCAAACATACGATACGTTTTACGTTCTCACCATCTATCAGATTGGTAAACCTTAAGGTTTGGTGGCACTGAAGTTAAGTTGAACCAAATCGAAAAATGGAAACAGTCTGCACCGGGTAACATTTTTGCCCTAAACTGTTACCAGCAATACCAGCATCTAACCCAAATGGGAGTAGATTAATTGTGGTTATAATATAGTCACACCAGCGAAAACAGTTCATTTGGATTTCAGCCTTAATTTTTATGGACAAGTGTGAACTTTTGTATAATCCACAACGGAAATAAAATTGACAGTCTGAAAGCTAGCTATAGTACATCTACTTCTATTTTATCGTCATTGGTAAAACGTTCCCGGTTATCCTTCCATCTTTCATAGCTACAATTATTCATTGTACCGTTCGATTCTGAAACGACACTTCTGTGCTATGTTCCACTTTGTGTGGTTTACTTAGGCCTCCATTCTTTCACTGGTGCTTACACTAACAGCTGCAAGAAGCAGTGACTACTGTTACATAGATATCGTTTCACTCGTGTTTACAGTTTTATTGGGTGGTTTTTAGTCCGAACACGCTTAACTTCAGTAGTTTTTCTGAGGTTTACGCCATATAATTATGATGCTCTGAAGATAGTGGTCACCACAATAATATTTTGCATGGTTACGGCAGATAATTCAATGCTGAAAAATATGCTGTGACTTGTTGGATGACCAAGAGAAGCTTTGTGCTACCCTGTTTTTAATATCATCCTAATATATTCTGACTGAACGAGGCAAAAAGCAATTTCAGAAATGTATGTGATTATTGGTTGCTCTCAAGAAACGAGCTAGAGGTGTACCAGAAAATCACTGCTCTTCGCAAGTCTATCAGTTTCCATCAGTTTTAGTTACTTCCATGTATGGTTGAGTCGTCATACAGCAGATAACAGTTTTATTGATGTTTTTACTGGTTACTTGCAAAGTATTAGTAGGTTAAGGAATTAATGACAGATTGAACCTATTGGAATGTTGAGGTTGATTGGTGTAATGGAGCATTTCAACATTACATTACTACTACTTTCTGTTGTAAATGCATTTTACTTACTGAACGTACATGATGCAGTAGGGTGCTTTCATTCTTTGACGAATCGATTAACGTCAGCAGAATAAGTACCATTTGTGAAGCATTCTGTACTCACATACACGCATCTTCATAAAGCTCTGACATCAGAAAACATGCCTTGAAAGCAGTCTTACTATCTCTTTCTGATATGGTTCGGCATTCAACTGTCGGTATTTGTTGACAAGTTTTGTATCACTTGAAATGGTTTGGTTATTGATGAAATCTCAGGTCTCATTTGTCAGCTTACGTAATTGTTGGCATCGGCTGGATAACTGGCTGCCTACCGGAGGATGATGAGTGTACTGCGACTTAGTTCACTGTTCTAACATAGGCCTGTTAGCCTCTGAAAGTAGAAGATATGAAGCGGTTACCGGTCTTTGACAATAAATCTCTTTGTAGCACTGCTCGCATGTATTGGAATCATCGTGTAAGTAATGTTGAGATTAGGTGCAGTGTGCCAGACAGGAAATGCAAGTCATTCGATGAAGTTGTGAACTATTAGTGACATGTTACGCCCGCCGAGTCACCACCTATCTTGATGTGCTTTATTAACGAGAGTAGAATTGGGTTGGAACAACTCCGTTGTCAAGCAAAGATTTGGCATCAACTGATAAAGTCTCTGACTGCTTTTGTCTTTAGTATGTACTTACTTGTGTATATGACCATACGTTTTGATACTTAGCATTTGGAATGACATTCTCAGTTTATATGCAATACATTTTTGCAAGTTGGTAATTATGCTAAACATTTGATGGGTATGTGACATGTGAATTCAATTTGACGATGAAGTACTTTATGAATTAAACAAAGTGGTCTTTGTGTAGTTACTTATCATAGGTTCAGTATGGCTTTCGATCAGCAACGGATCCTACCATGTTAGTTATGTGTTTTATCGGTATCTGTGAAGCTATTACCCCGTAGTTCGTGCACTAAATTAACCTATTAAATCACCTGTGAATTCCGCATAATAGCTGCTTTTCAGTGGTAAGGTAGGTTTATTCAACTGCTTAGACGATTGAAACGCCTCAGAGCTTACGGCTCAAACCTACAGTTGGTCGTTGAGCTGAAATTTCCTTATCTTTTGTCAGTTTATAGAAATTACGCCAGGAACAAAAATGTAAAGGGATTTCGGTCAGGTTAATCAAAATGTAAAATAAAATCACTGCAACAATCATGCCAGTACCGCGCTAACCACAAGAGTATGCCATCAACACTTTTAGCTGATGAATCGCTAGTCCGATATCGTCTGTAAAAACCCGATAAATATTCCAAACTGATAGCCAAGTATGGCTCACTGGCTTAATTCGACTTTCAAGCAGTGGTTCCGGGGTTCGAGCCCATCCTCAACTACTTCAGCCTGGGCAACCGGGTAGTCTCAAGCTCTCACACAGTGCGTGGCTTATAGCCTAATAAACTGACACATACTGCACTGGTTTTACTATTGTTTATTATCATAATGACTGTTATTGATTTCAGTCTGATTTTTCTGAGGACATTATTACGTAGTTTTGTGAGTCACCTTTAGTACTGATTCTTCATTGTGAACGTTCCTCATATTTTAGTGGTGTTTTTATCCGGTGATCATCTGTTGCTGAACTAGACACTGGTTGTCCATTCTGAATGAGTAATTGCAAGAAGAATCTTTTCAAGCGTCCCGAAGAGAAAGCTTCACTTGGTATGCTTATCCAACTTTTATATTTGTAGTGATAGTAATTATCCTATATACATTTTAATTTCTAATTGAATACCTGATCAATGATGCTTTTAGGAAGGTTAAAGAATTGGTTAAGCAGTTTGAAAATATCATCAACATAGGACCAGGGTATTACTGCGTAACGGTCCAAGTTGCTACATCTCATATCAGTACATCAAGCAACAAAACAGTCAGATGAAAGACGAAGAAATAAAGAAGAATCGGTCCAAGGCAGTGCAGAGTAATAAAAGAGAGAAAGGACAAATGTGGAAATGCTGAATTCAGTATGGCAGTTTAAATGAAGATAAAGTGTGGATGCATCTACCCCAATTACTGATACTAAGCCATATCATCTAGAGTCTCCAACCATCGGTTTCTGTTGACGCACGGGCCTCAGTCGGGAAGTCTACATTTCCCTACACAGCTCAGACCAACAGTCGAAGATTTCATGCTGTGCTTTAGTCTCGCCACCGCAGATCTTTTTCCAGACTAAACCTACCTCTGCAAAGATTATTGTATGACTAGGCGAACGGTAACTTAGCATTCGTAACACGTATCCAGTCATCCCAGTCGATGAGGGTTCACAACCTCATCAACTGACTTCCCGCTCCCAAAACTTCACACTTGACACTTCTGCACAACTAAAGTGGTGACATGACACATAACCTATGTTAAGACAACGGTGGTCGGGCACCCGAAGCCTTCTTATATCCTCTATCTTTAATGGGCGTTTCACAGCCGTATAGTAGAACAAAGTAAACTGCTACAAAGCACACTCAACCGTTAATAGACAATTGGATATTACGGAGAAGCCACAGATGGCGCAAATTGGCGAAGGCCAATGGAGCCTTTTGTATCACCGCAGAGGTTCCGTCGGTCAATGACCAACCAGGGCCGGTCCGATTTCCCAGGCAAGTGAAGTGGCCAACGCGCTCAACCATTTCATCCCCTATTTTGAGAGAGCACCAGTGAAAACCAGTCCTGGAACAACAATATGCATTTAGTTAGCGAGAAATGCATCCTAAACATTCTAAAATTGCCACTCACTGTCCAAAAGACTGCATCTTGCTAGCGTATCCACCTAACTAGACTGTGTCATCCGCTTACTTTACATCTATCAAAAAAATTTGTGATAAGATAAACCCCTGTAAAGTCATGACGATGGGGATACTTTCATAGGTACATCTGTGGGAGAATTGAATACGAATATGCAGAGTAGATATCCTTGATGGACACTACTCAATGTACACAGCTCACCTGACATCACCATAGTCTGTAACATACCCACCGATGTCCGGTCACAGAACCTTCAACAGATTGATATACTTGACATTCCTTTCATTTAGTGACACCACCATAAGACTTCTTAATCAACCGAGTCAAACACCGCCTTCATGCGAAGAAATACGACCTACATCAGGCATCGGTAAGTGTATCTGTGTTCCACAACCAAGCGAAGTGTGAATATGTGGTCGAAACACCCACAGACAGGTTTAAAGATTGATTAGTTTTCCCAGGTTTGATTTACTTAGGCTCCACTCCGACATCTGACGATTACAGAAGCTAGAATCTTACACACTTTGTCAACCTGATTCCCTGTGATTATCATAAGAGGAATCATCACCTTTCTTGAAGATTGGAACAATGAGTGATTGAGTCCAGTCAGATGGGATCACGTTTGACTACCATATACCAGTTAACACCAACTAACTTCACCAAAAATCTTTGACCACTCTCTTTAAATACCTCTGGAACTAGTCCGTCTGACTCTGTTGCTCTTCCACGTTTCACGTCACCGACAGCTTTCTCGACCTCCATAACTGTCTGGGATCACACCTCCATGTCCCATTCAGCCTCTGACTGGATAGTGAACAACAGGATAGTAGCTGCAGACTGATTGAGCTGTTTCTCAAAGTGTTTCACTCATCATTCTACTCGTCTACCCTGTGAGTGAATCACATATCCATCCTTCTTCGTTGTAGTCTCTCTCATCAATTACGTCTTCGCCACAGTTCCCTTAATAAGTCCCACTAACTACATACTGTTACCTATCACAGCTGCCTTTTACACCTCCTTAGTCTTCCCTGCCAACCACTAGGCACGATCATTGCCTCGACTATTTGTCAGTCTACATTTGAGTTGCTTCCCTTCCTCATTGTGCACTGTTACTGCAGGCGTACATTCGCGTGCATCCATTCAATCATAATAAGCAAACAGACAGAAAAAGCAAGAGTTGAGATCCATCCACCCACACTTTAGAGCCAGCCTCTGAGAGTCAACTACGGTCTTCATCACAGTTTTTACAGCAAACTGAAGACGACACCAGGCTTCCTCTGAATCTGTGATGATGTCTCGTTCCGATAACTGTCGAGCCAATTTCTCATTGAAACCAGTCATAGTTCTCTCTCATCGTTGAGCTGCACTCACACATGGTCGGTCTTGTTGCCAAAGCTCTACTATTTCCTTTCAGACGCAGACATATATACGCGTTCAAACCGATCCGTAGTCGCTGTCCAAACACGAGCTCCACTCTAGGAAGGTCGGCGATCTTCCACCAACCCTCCTTCAGTGGAGATGGATAGCGATGGGGTCTATCTGTGTGTACCGCTGAGTTCAGCTTGGTGAATGCCACACCAAACAATGTCAGTCTTAGTGTCTGAAGTCTATGCTCGGTAGGCACAGACGATTTTCTGAACAAATTTGTAGCAGGTAATCACCGTCATCTATTCGTTTGGCTGATTCAGAAAGTGCCACTTATGTACGTTTCTATCTGAATTAGCCCACCTACCTGTGCATTGAAATCACCTGCAACAACAACAACAACAACTGAGAGTTTGGTTTTCACTAGAAGGCTAGAAAGGTTTCTGTGGAACTCATCATTCGCTTCTTCAGAGCTGCAGTTAGTGAGTGCGTAAGCTGATAGTTGCTATCTTGACGTGTTGGTAGCACTTGCATATTACAATGACCCAGCGAGCTACTTGAGGTATTACCGTGCCAGAAGTTCGTTAGATGGTGGTAAACGAAAAACACTCGTAATGTAAGTTACCATACTATTATAATAGTGTCTAAGAACGAAGTCGTGTTGCTGGTTGGCTGGGATTTCACAGCCATAAGGCTTTTCCTTTGGATGACTATCAGTGGTATGCTGGTGCTAATTTCCCGGTGAGGAGATCTGGCTGGGAAAGATTTGCCCTCTCAAAGCACACTCCTCCCTTCTCTGTAGTCTTCCGGTACTGACGGTACAGGTTTGTTCTATCTGGTATTAGAGCAATCAAATCGGACAGCAGGAATCCCTAAAAGGTTGTGTGGCAGGCCTCGAGCAGATGTCCCATGGGTTCTGGGGTCATGCAAAGCTGTTCCTTTTTCTCTTTCAAATGTCTTGTAGAAAGAAATTCCAGTGTCGGCAGCCGGGAAATGTCAACCGTCCGCAAGCTCCCAGTAGTATACAAGATTCAATCAGAAATAACCTACCCTTTTATCTTTGTCTCCTCCTCTGCCTTCGACTCATCAAACCAATATTAAGCCTTTTACAACTTCCTGAGCCTCTCACTGCGACAATCGCCAAAGACCCATCCACTCTCGAATTCATATTGGAGCTCTCAGGGTCCGAACCCTATACCAAGCCACACACCAGGTATCGCTCGCCAGAGCTTTGGATATATGCTGCCCATGAGACGCAGGACTATAGTGTGGTTATTAAACTGACTCCACATGACCAGTGTGGTGAATCTTCGAATATCGAGTATCCGGAGATTCAGTGGGTAGCTCTCGTGGACTCGCTGGTGTAGGCAAATTTTTGAGCTATAGGGCAGAAAGTACACTTCTCAACTGGATACCAGTCAGCTGTGTGTGTTGTGCGACAGAAGGGAGCTGTAAAAATTAGGAAGAATCGTGAGATTCGCCGATATTTATTCATAACTTGCACCTACACATCCGCCGACTCCAATTTGGATGATGCAAAAAGTGGATTCTATTAGAAGCTGTCAATTTTGTTGCGGAAAGCAAAACGTTCAGACGTGTTCATGATAACAGGCGACTTAAACTCTTAGGTAAGAAAACTGATCGAATCGTAAAGAAATTTTGCAGGTATCTGCGGGATTAAGTACCACCGAACGCTGATCGTTTGTTCGGACAATCACTTGTTTCTAGTCGGCACTAACGTCAAGCATGAAGAGAGACATTATCTCACATGCCACCCACACACATCAAAGCAATGATGGGCGCAAATATATCATATTGCTGTGAGCCATCGTTGGAGAGGATAGGCGAAGGATTTTGACTTTCTGGAGTACTTGTTTGAACTACTGGTCGCATAGAACAGGAGATAGTGAAACCTGTGTGTGCTCGACTGGCTCCGGCCGGGGAGGTATTCGCCTATCTATCAAAAGACGAGTGTACTGCGCTCCAGTTCGTTTTGTCCTGTTATATGACGCAGAAATGACCGCCTAAATTAGAAGTCATGAGTTGGTTGCGAGCTTCTGATCATAGGTGTTCTCGTACTGTTGATTGCGCTTGGTGGAGTCCCCGTGTGAGCAATGTTGGGAGAGACAGGCAAGTCTACTAGTAGGGTGTTGGATCTTAGTTGACTAAGATGGCTTGAACATATCCTGTGCATTCTGAGTCACCGCCCCACCTCTAGGTATCATGCTGGTGGGCTTGGATTAAGTTGGAAGAAGTTTTAAGGTGACCAAACCAAGACGTAGCACCAGTCCATGAAGTCCTTTTCTTTTAGCCTGAGACGTGTAGGGATATGCAGACAGCTGGGCTAAGGTCCTAAAGACGATAGGAATCAGTGGTTGAGGAGTCTTTGTGACAGCTGAAAATCAGTCATACTGGCGCAGATGTATTCACTCTGCTACGTCTTATAAAGCTTGACTATTTTGACTAACCTCGGTTTTAAAATTCCTTCTCTTACCACACACCTTTGTCTACTTTGTCATCATTATTTTCTATCTACTTGTTCCATATGTGTTAATGTGTCTGTTTACGTGAACAGAGATAAAGAGACATCGGCAAGTTGTACTATTCTTTACAGCCCTCACTGTGTTGTCTAGTGGAACAGCCCATCGACGAAAAACCGCGAAAACTGGCCATCAAATCTGCGGAAAAGCGAAGGGTGAATTCTACCGATTCAACATATGGACCAGATAAAGTTAGGTGCATAACCGCAATTCCGTCCCATGTACTTGTCTCACAAACACACCACACATCCATGGCCTAAAACATTGGAGTTTTGGCCAGAGAAGCTCGTTGACCGATTTCACGGAGAGTGAAGACATCGAAAACTGCAATGTGTAGTTTGCAGTGCGGTCTCAGGAGATCAGTGGTAATGTTCCCTAAACTCAGATCGTTGTCAAGAACTGCAGAACTGAACTGAGCGGAATTAAACATGACATAGAATTGTTGACTGAGAGACATGAAGGACAATCAAAAGGTGTGGATGTGGAAGGTGGACAGATAGCGATCTCAGGAGACTGGAACACTGAAAAAGTTGTGAGGATAGTTGACGCTTCCTCGACACACACTTGGGTCACCGTGGAAGGCTATTTCTTATTGAGGTATCTGAAGAAGAAGAAGAAGGATTAGTGTGTGACCGTAGAGCTCAAGGAACATTTGTTTGATACCGGTCGCACATAGTCTTTTTAAGAGTTTGTTAGTTTCGACTGCGACTATGAACAGTTATCGCTCGCACTTGTATTCTGTAGGGAATGCGGTAATTTTTTTGACCGATCTCCTTTAACCCCCTCCCACTCAACGTTCCCATAACGAGGGGAACATCAGCGTGGCATTGTTGGTCATCCACGATAAACACCTTACGGTTGTAATACACTACCCAGTAAGCAGCACGACTTCGTTCTCGGACTGCTCGTCATGATGTAACAACAACCTATGCCATAATGGTAACTGCTTTTTTGAAATCACTGTCCAAGTGAATTTTCTGGCATGGTGAGTTTTCAAGGAGACAAGCTTTCTACGAGCAAAGTTCTTTGGGTTATTTTGATATGCAATCTCGACCAACTTGCTAAGGTCGGCTATCGGTCGGGAGGATGGCTAATATAATTTGATACGTCACACTTGGATAGACACATAAGAAACCTGTCGACAGACACTTATGCCTGGTCCCCAGCCTATTCACTAACAAGTGAAATCCAAACAAAGCAGTAGGGAACTGAACTCTGATGTTATTGCTCAAATGTGATAACGGGTGGCCCTGAGAGTTAGATTTTCAAGGAGCCATTTTTTACAGTCATATTTAGATTTTAGCCGGTCGCGTAGTGAAAAATGTCTTATTTTCTGGCTTTTCGAGTCGAATTTATGTGAAATATTAGTGTTTTTCAAGAATAAAAAAATTCTTGTTCGGTGACTTACCAGGCTGTTTAAGAAAGTGTTTTAAACTAAAAAAGTCAAGTAGGGGGTTTGTGGGTATGGGTATTTATTGATTTCAAGTTGGTGACCGGTGGGTCAAACCTGGTGAATATGAGGACAACAACTCAACGATGATATTGGGTAGTAGTCGCGCTATATCGTGAACTGACAGACGTTGGAAATGTGAACTCTGGGATTCCGAAACAGTGGCTCAATGGTAACATGCTGGCCACAGAATCTGAAGGTCCTGGGTTCGACCGATCTCGGGATCATGGGTGTGCACTACTGAGGAGCCCCATACTATGTCGAAGCGGCTCTCCAGTGTTCTCAAGTCTCCATTGTTCCTCCAACTGATGTCAGTTCATGATGAATACCAACTTGACTTTGTTGTTGTTATGTCCTAAAAACTTATTACTGTTATGCGTCACGTGCTATACGCAATGCTGGGGAAACTGTTTTCATTCTTCACAGTACTATTACTACTACCAATTTAATTCACTTGTTTTTTTGTCGTATTTTTTATTTAATAGTTAGTTCACGTGATTTGGGTAAGGCGCGTAACCTTCATCGTTCGGTACCTAAGTATATTTCTATTCATTCCGCTTGATAACATCGTAGGTTTCATGTTCAAAGGCAAACATCTGTAGTGGAAAGTATTTCAACTCAATCACCAAACGACAATCCTCTCCCATATCTGGAGCCAGTACATCAGATATTCATCTACTTATTAATGTGAGTTTTTTCTACCTGTTTGTTTCCCTCTTTTCGTTGGATCTGTCCCTGTATGCTATTCAGAAGTTTTAATATTTTGATTGTTGTTTGGAGACTTCTATATTGTTCTGTCATTGAGCCAAGTAGGATTTTTCAATAGTCTTTATCATCACATTGATCCACATTCATACTCATACGCTATGTTGACTAACGCGCGACGAGATAGGAACGAAATCAATTGGTAACATCAGTTCTTGACTATTGATCTGAATTGTATTGGACAGTGTAGATTTTTTGTTTGGGAATTGAACTGCGATCAAAAGCTAAGATTGATAGTGTCACAGGAAATCGGTCACAGCATCGCATCCTGTTCTGACAATTCTGGCAACTGTTAGATATCTATGTTCTTTTTTAAACAGTATCTGCTGATATGATTCTTCCTTTTTCGTTGTGGTTTGGTGTTCTCTCAGGTTTGATGTTTTGTCGTGAATGTTTTATCCTCAGGCTTGGTGACATCTTCAGCACTAACCTCGTAAAGAAGTGAAGTATAATCGAATATTACATGAATGTTTAGATTGTGTTTTTATTGACCGTGAATGTTGTCCAGTTGTAAGTTGGGGAAGAAATTTTTTGTCAAACTCTGACCTCTGCGATCTTAAATTTAAAGGTGTGACAAAACTTATTTCCCCAACTTACAACTGGACAACATTCACGATCAATAAAAACACGATCTAAACATTCGTATTATATTCAATTATGCTTCACTTCTTTACGAAGGTAGTGTCACTAAGCCTAGTGATGAAACGTTCACGATAAAACATCAAAGCTCAGAGAACACCAAACCACCATCATCCTCATCTTGAGCTGCTAATTTTTCCCATCATTTCTTCTTAGTTCTTCATCATTGATCTTGTTGGACGTAAAGTCTTGTAGCCTTAACCGTTGCACAGTTATGCCACGTTCTACGTTGTTTACCTTCCTTTGTTTTATTTGTACAATATATATTAAGCGATATTAAATGATATTGTGTGATCATGTTTCATTGTCTTACACGAACTTCGCTATCTATTTAAATTTCTGCCGATTTATATCTATTTACGGCCTTGTTATTATCATTGTAATATGTTTGGTTTTGGCTAGCAGAAGAATCTAGGACGCACGTTTCGTCCTATTTGGGACTCGTCAGCTGGATGTGTCTGCACCTCACTCAGTGGTGTTGTTCCCACTGAGATTCGAACCTCGTACCCATCGTTTCAAACACTAAGGCCTTATCTACTATGCCACAGAGGCACGATAGCCACCTCTTGTACAACAGGTATTAGTTACTACTATTAATTGATATACTTGTAGTTCTTGGTTGTTTTATTGAATCTAATTATTCGACTTCTATTAGCATACGGGCTCCTATGCAAATGCCTTGATATTGCCTGGATGTTAATTATGGTGATTTGTCTGATTGTGGCTAGCAGAAGAATCCAGGATGTGCATTTCGTCCTATTTGGGACTCGTCAGAAGTCGGACAATCCGGTCCAAAATAATGGAGAATTACAAGTATATCAATAAACAGTAATAGTTACTACCCGTTGTACAAGAAGTGGCTACTGTGCCTCTGTGGCATAGTGGATAAGGCCTTAGTGTTTGGAACGATGGGTTCGAGGTCCGAGTCGCAGTGGGAACAACACCACTGAGTGAGGTGCAGGCACATCTAGCTGACGAGTCCAAAATAGGATGAAACGTGCGTCCTAGATTCTCCTGCCAGCCACAACCTAACAAATCCCCGTAATTAACATTCAGACAATATCAAGGCATCTGCATGGGAGCGCATATTCCAATAGAGGTCGAACAATTCGATCCAATAAAACAACCGAGAATTGCAAGTATGTCAGCTGTTATTCTTATTATTGTTATGAAGATGATGACAACTGAAGCTGAAACAAAATCTATTTCATGGTATTATTTGAAACCAAGAAATTTGCAGTATTTGGCTACTATCTCGGTCTTGGTTCCGTTTAGGCTACACTGTTTCCGTTCACAAGGTGTATGAATCGAAAAGAAGTCGAAATGCACTCAGCAACCTTGCCTTGCGCACGTTCATACAATAGGCAATAAATAAGCTGCACGTATTGTGTGAAAGCGAATGATACTACCCGGTTGCCCAAACTTCGTTAGGTAGAGCGGGGTTCGAACCCGTGACCCATTAGTGAAAAGTCATCCCCCTAAGCCAGTGAGTCGCAGCTTTGCACTACCGATATATGAATTTAAATTAAATTAAATTTGTTGTAGTGGTTTGGCTGACTTGCTCAATCAAATCCACTTCATTGAATTGTCAGTTCTTTGAAGAGCTATCACATCAGGAAAGTAGCTAGACCGTGATCAAATCTAGTATGACTATCTCATCAGTCTAGACACGTGGATGTCAAAGAACGAGTTATTTCTTCGAATATCACTATCATATGGTGTCACTATCCCCCATAATAGTTGTGGCTCGCTGCCTGTAATATGGAAGTGGGTTGAGTTGATTATCTAGTGTTGAAATGATGCCTTCTACTGTAATACGAACAGATGAATAGTCTCATCAAGTAACTTGTCTCCGTAATTTTTCATCATGATCAGAATTCAGAAAGCACTTGTAGAAACCCACGTTACACTTTAAGGCTTTTTGAGTCATGAATGAAAGCTGAAAAACAGGTAACGAGTTTAAGTGCTACTTGTCTTTAGTAGATATTCACATCATTAAAAAAGATCTGTATGGCCAGAAAGTGTCATTCACTCAGACTCCCTTTTAAACTTACTACTATGATCTTCAGCATCTACATCCTAGTTTCACATATAAGCTTATCGAAAAAACCCTTAATTATGGGATCATTCTTGATGTTGTATATAAAGTTATCGCATTACAAGTAAATATGTTAAGTAGTCAATAAGTTAGTGTTATTTACTGTATGACTAGACAGTCCTAGTATTCCCAAGAGAGAGGAGAAACTTCATGATCTTCAAGTTGATGCCTTAGAACATCTGTTGAACATGAACATGACTACTAAGTGAAGACCTAGTCGACAACTGTGTTTTGTAGCTCATTTGGGCAGTAACCTGAAGGTAGCCTGTTCGAACCCTGTCGCCACTCAAGTTTTCATTTCACTTTCTATCAGTATCCAGCATCAATAACACCAGTTTGCCAAGCCAGATAGTTTCAATAATGATGATGACAATAATAAAACTTCACTTTGTTTCTATCTTTCTCGTCGAATTATATTTTAAAATTCAACTGTTTGCATGCTAAGATTTTAATTTGTCAGTAATATGCGTGTATGTGTTAACCCAACAGACAGAAACGAATGTCACTACTGTCTAAATAATTCACACACTACATACCTGACTTATATACTGTAAGCTACAAACAGACACCAGTTGAACTATGTTAAAACAGCCATTGAAAATCCTTGTTAGTTGGCTAGATAAATAAGGTGGGGAGAGCGAATTTGGTTAGGTGTAGTTTATTCCAATGAATATGGTGAGCATAAATAAACAAACATTTAACACATGTGGTAAACTGAATGCAAATGAGTATCACTTACATCAGATAACAGTGTGATTACCACCAATTTTAACAGATGTAGTCTTATTCTGTAACCAAGATATAAACATGAATCACTAAGTGGGTTCAACTTCTTCATACACTTAATCTCTTTCCTATAGTTTATCTCAAGTGTTATCCTGTTCATTTCTTGGTGTGAGCATATATAGCTTCTTTTCTCCCTTTGAATTCATCGTCTTTGTGTTTGTCCTGTCACTACTTTACAATTTCAGTTAGTTGGAGTATGCTTTTAGGTTGATGTGTATCCTTGCCAAACTAATTTTTTCTCTCCGAATTAGAAATTTCTCGGGCTTTTTAACACACCATGACCAATGCGTCGTTTTTCTCACAATTTTCAAGGTTACTCCTTTATTGATTGATATTGCTTAAATGTATCGTTTTCAAATTCGGACAAGGTGTAAATTCCTGTATGTGTACACATATTCTGAATTTCCGTTGTCGATTACCGAAACAGTAGAAGCTGTCCATTCCAGTGAGTGGAGAACTTTAAAAAGCAGTTCAGCTCGACCATTGCTATCCGAGGACTTTGCGTTGTTTACTAGTGCTGTTTCTGCAGTAATGCTCACATTCAGTTGAAATACCATGTAAGTAATTCCGAGGTGAGACAGTGTGTCTAGGTGTTATGGAGATCATCATCCAATGAATACACTCATGATGAGTCATTGGCGTTGGTAGCTTGGACACGTGTTTCGTGTATCGTTCCAGCAGCTCTCACACCACTCACTATTCTCCTACCGTGGAAGAAGCGAAGAGGTGACTGTTGCATGAAATGGCACTGTTGGATGGGGGGTAATTGTTTCCGGTTAGTTTCTGTGGGTGCCTCACGAGTCCCTGGATGGAGTCCAAGAGACCGTGGAAGTCAGTAGTATGAGACAATAGCAGAGGTGGTTTGGAAACCAGTGAGTGTCGTGTTACAGGTTTACTGTTGCTCCTATAACTGAAAAGTAAAGTGAAGGTAGGGAACTCTCTTCGGTATGCATTTTTGATACTGTTTCTTCAAAAATCCACTTCTGTATTTATTTTCACTCTCTGTTCCATTTTCTGTCTTCATAGTATTTTTTAAATAAATTAAAAGTATTTTTTGTGTTGTTGAATTAATTAATGTCGCGAAAATTGGTTTTATGACCTCATCGTTAACTGGCATCAAGGCATTTATTCGAACAAAGTAACTGGCGGCAGGTATAAAATGGAAAGGCATGTCTTAACAACATGCTATCAAATCACTCTACATCATTACTTCATTTCATATCGGTAGTTCCTGTCTGAAAAAGTTTGTCCATCTCCTAGTCAATAAATGCTATGCACTGTTGCGAATCAACGCAGCATCTCGTGTTATGGTTGCACCGAAAAAGTTATATTGCAACCTTCGTTATCCTTCATTCGATAACAGAGCAAATGGCTTTGTTGGTGTTTGGTGGAAGTTTTGTGTTCACTGAGCGGCTGAACTCCTGTTCTATGTGTTGTGACACTCGATGGTATATACTACATTAGCAGCGTGAAACTAAATTCACTTATTCTGTACCGGTTTGGGAGCTTATATTTTGAGAACAGTCTCGTTGATATCCTGTCCAAATACACTCCAATTAGTCACAAGTCGTGAGATCATTGATGAGACTTATTAAATAATTTGTAGGTATTTTCTAACCTTTTATCTTTCGCTCGATCTCTGTGTGATTATTTCCCTAAAGAAGCTCAAACCAGACTTCCGTGCAAAACTTTGGAATTTATCATTTCAAACACACTGAAATTTGTCAAAATACAACTAATATCAATACTTTTTACTTCCTTGTAATCCAAAAATGTAGGTTTTTTGGTATTCAGGAGTTTTTTGGATCACCCTTATAGTAATTTACTTCCAAATGAAATTGAATACCATTTCCGCAGTGAAACGCATTAAAACGAATCTCCTACTACTGATCGTTACTGCTGAACGCTGGGGATACTGAGAACTCAAACTACTTCTCCAACTCTCATTACTCACAGATAGTTGAATATGTAGAGGGTAGGCGTATATTTTAGAGTTATCTTAAAAGTTTACTCCATCAACGTTTATTTATATAATTGTAGGGCTGTGGTTTAGTGGTTTAGAGAGGTGAACCAGTGGGTTGCGAGTTCAAACCCCACTCAACCCACCAAGGTTTCAACAGCTAGGTAGTATCACTAACCGTCACATAATATATGTTGTTCATTACCTACTACACATATATGCACAAGGTGATTGAGTGCGTTTCGTTTCAGTCATATACTTCCAGCGGTAAACCCATGGTGATTGAAGTGAAATAAAAATTTGGTCAGCAATCGGAACTCGTAACTTAGTTGGTAGAGCATTGGAATGAAAATCCAGTGGTTGCTGGTTCGTATCCGGCTGTTGTCCAAATTTTCATTTCACCTTCGATCATCACCCAGTATATCTAGTTCTAAGTAGATTTCAGATCTTAGAATCTTGTCAGTCGAACAAATTCGAAATAAACGCAGAAATATAGTTTTAATGGAAGAACTATCGACTTCCAGATACTGATTGACAGTAGATTTTCTACCTTTTCAAGGAAATGAAAAGTGATGTATGTGTGTAAACTACTGAAAAGTTCACTGGTTAAGCGAGTGGAGAGTTTTTGAAAAATAAAAATTTAAGCGTGTTGTTGCTTTTAATTTACTGATAATATTTTATAAAAAGTTTTATAATTATTTATTCGCATTCTTAAAATGGAATATTCTACTCTTCATAATGAATGATATAGGATTCGACTGCTTCAGCAATTTATTCACGTAATACAGAGCATGACAGTTCAGAGGATGTTTCGTTTAGTATCGCTTCATCATCTTTGATAGATCTTAGAAATACAGAAGGATTCAGTACTACTTCATATGACGAGGTATCACTTGCTGCTTACGCAATATGGACAGTGTATCAACGTTACTTATCATGCTTCATGGTGAATAAAATGGAGTCTGAACATGTAAGTGATAGGTTATGTATTTCAAAAGTATGTTGATATTCACATAGAGTATATTTACTTCCTTAGAAGTTAATTTTGAATAGACTTTAATTTGATTCATCGAAATGAATATGATTTACAACTGCTGGGCAATTACACTACTGTATCTCTTAAAATCTAAGACTAAGTTGAACAAAGTTCATGGCCGAAAACATGTGACCTACAGTGAATCCTTTACAATTTTAGAGAAGTAAAGGAAACAGTTCAACAAATTATGCATTCTACTGGGAGTGCACTTTCTGTTTTATTCCACAAATAACTTGGATTCCCTCTGATCGACCAAGTCAATTTTTATGCACATGAAAAGTTTGAATTGTTCAGTAATCAAGATAAACCAACGAGCTTTGCTTGTAGAAAGCTTGTCTCCTTGAAAACTCACCATGCCAGAAAATTCACTTGGACAGTGATTTCAAAAAAGCAGTTACCATTATGGCATAGGTTGTTGTTACATCATGACGAGCAGTCCGAGAACGAAGTCGTGCTGCTTACTGGGTAGTGTATTACAACCGTAAGGTGTTTATCGTGGATGACCAACAATGCCACGCTGATGTTCCCCTCGTTATGGGAACGTTGAGTGGGAGGGGGTTAAAGGAGATCGGTCAAAAAAAATTACCGCATTCCCTACAGAATACAAGTGCGAGCGATAACTGTTCATAGTCGCAGTCGAAACTAACAAACTCTTAAAAAGACTATGTGCGACCGGTATCAAACAAATGTTCCTTGAGCTCTACGGTCACACACTAATCCTTCTTCTTCTTCTTCAGATACCTCAATAAGAAATAGCCTTCCACGGTGACCCAAGTGTGTGTCGAGGAAGCGTCAACTATCCTCACAACTTTTTCAGTGTTCCAGTCTCCTGAGATCGCTATCTGTCCACCTTCCACATCCACACCTTTTGATTGTCCTTCATGTCTCTCAGTCAACAATTCTATGTCATGTTTAATTCCGCTCAGTTCAGTTCTGCAGTTCTTGACAACGATCTGAGTTTAGGGAACATTACCACTGATCTCCTGAGACCGCACTGCAAACTACACATTGCAGTTTTCGATGTCTTCACTCTCCGTGAAATCGGTCAACGAGCTTCTCTGGCCAAAACTCCAATGTTTTAGGCCATGGATGTGTGGTGTGTTTGTGAGACAAGTACATGGGACGGAATTGCGGTTATGCACCTAACTTTATCTGGTCCATATGTTGAATCGGTAGAATTCACCCTTCGCTTTTCCGCAGATTAGATAACCAGTTCTTGCAGCCTTTAAGATGTAGGTATAGCACTGAGTGCTCAGGCAGAAAGTGCACTGCTCGACTAAGTGACAGATGACAGTCGCCGGTGGGTTGTTTGACTGGATGGCACAGCGAGAACTGAGGGGAATAGGGAACCTTTGTAATAGTTACTTTTATACCTACTAATTGCACTTTTGAAAATGAATGATGAGTTCCACAGAAACCTTTCTAGCCTTCTAGTGGAAACCAAACTCTCAGTTGTTGTTGTTGTTGTTGCAGGTGATTTCAATGCACAGGTAGGTGGGCTAATTCAGATAGAAACGTACATAAGTGGCACTTTCTGAATCACCCGGACGAATAGATGACGGTGATTACCTGCTACAAATTTGTTCAGAAAATCGTCTGTGCCTACCGAGCATAGACTTCAGACACTAAGACTGACATTGTTTGGTGTGGCATTCACCAAGCTGAACTCAGCGGTACACACAGATAGACCCCATCGCTATCCATCTCCACTGAAGGAGGGTTGGTGGAAGATCGCCGACCTTCCTAGAGTGGAGCTCGTGTTTGGACAGCGACTACGGATCGGTTTGAACGCGTATATATGTCTGCGTCTGAAAGGAAATAGTAGAGCTTTGGCAACAAGACCGACCATGTGTGAGTGCAGCTCAACGATGAGAGAGAACTATGACTGGTTTCAATGAGAAATTGGCTCGACAGTTATCGGAACGAGACATCATCACAGATTCAGAGGAAGCCTGGTGTCGTCTTCAGTTTGCTGTAAAAACTGTGATGAAGACCGTAGTTGACTCTCAGAGGCTGGCTCTAAAGTGTGGGTGGATGGATCTCAACTCTTGCTTTTTCTGTCTGTTTGCTTATTATGATTGAATGGATGCACGCGAATGTACGCCTGCAGTAACAGTGCACAATGAGGAAGGGAAGCAACTCAAATGTAGACTGACAAATAGTCGAGGCAATGATCGTGCCTAGTGGTTGGCAGGGAAGACTAAGGAGGTGTAAAAGGCAGCTGTGATAGGTAACAGTATGTAGTTAGTGGGACTTATTAAGGGAACTGTGGCGAAGACGTAATTGATGAGAGAGACTACAACGAAGAAGGATGGATATGTGATTCACTCACAGGGTAGACGAGTAGAATGATGAGTGAAACACTTTGAGAAACAGCTCAATCAGTCTGCAGCTACTATCCTGTTGTTCACTATCCAGTCAGAGGCTGAATGGGACATGGAGGTGTGATCCCAGACAGTTATGGAGGTCGAGAAAGCTGTCGGTGACGTGAAACGTGGAAGAGCAACAGAGTCAGACGGACTAGTTCCAGAGGTATTTAAAGAGAGTGGTCAAAGATTTTTGGTGAAGTTAGTTGGTGTTAACTGGTATATGGTAGTCAAACGTGATCCCATCTGACTGGACTCAATCACTCATTGTTCCAATCTTCAAGAAAGGTGATGATTCCTCTTATGATAATCATAGGGAATCAGTTTGATGAAGAGTGTCTACGATTCTTGTTCCAGTTATCGTTTGGAGTTTGAATGTTGTTCGTGAATAGCATGCTTGAGAAAACTTTGCATGCTTTGTGTTCGGCCGTGGGTGTATGAATCAGATTTTCACAGTTTTCTTGGTTCTGGAGCATAGGGGCAGTTCCCGACGCTGGACACTGGCTGTATTTTTTTTATGAAAAGACCACATTCGACCCTACTTTTCGAGAGGTCTCATGGCAGTGTCGTGCACTTTAGCAAGTGTTGCGAAATGATTTACGTCACCCTATTGACGTCTCTGTATTCGAAAAATCGATGTGCGTTTAGAGCCTTCAGTGTATTATATCCGTCAAGGATATCCACTCGTTCCATTCTAATTTCTTATATAGTTGTGAAGGTCTACTTTTTGTGTAACTATGGAGGGTTTTTCCTTGTCATAGGAGACACCTTTGCTCATTCATAGTACGCATATAATCGTGTTCAGTTGTACGCTGATAATGTTGAGTCTTCTAGGTACCTTGAGTGGCAATTGTACGTTGCTTGGGATACGTTCCTCACCAAACAAATGTAAATTGTTGCTTCACGACTGGTCTTTCAGTGGTGCGTTGTTTGACATTTGAAAGTTAAATGACTACCTGGGAAGTTGGACGGTAAATGATGAAATCTCTCCATGGATACATAAGGTTTGACTTGGCTTTCGCCAACCAACTCTATTCGTTGTGTTGCTGTGATATCCAGTTGTCTGTTAAGTATCGGATCTGCTGCAATGCAGTGTGGTCTGTTCTTCTGGATGGCTATGAAACATGGACGTTAAAGTAAGGCCCAGTAGAAGTCCTCAGGTATTGCCTTCTCAGCCCTGGCTGTATATCGTGGTGCCACCAAGTTAGTAACGTAGAAATTAGACGTAGGGTTTGGGATCAAAGGGGTAAGTCAGTTGACAAGGCTAGGGCATGGTTTACGCATATTTAGTCACCATCTGGCTCCTCGCTTAATGCCATTTGAGTTGGGTTCAGGCTGGAAAACTGTTAGGAGTTACGAGACTGAAACATGGCTTTAGTTCATGACATCTTTTACTGTTGGCTTGAAGTGTTTGGGGAATGCGGACTTCCTGGTTGTGGTCCGCGTGACGAACGTAATCGGTTTTTGTAGTCTCAAGTTATTGTGACTCAAAATCGATCTCAATAGCTCAAATTTATCCAAACCTTTCATCCCCATCGTCATGCCGAATTTTAGTTTTATCTTGTTATTTTTTCTGTTTTCGTAACATTCTGACACTTCCTTATTTTTTTGTCCATCATCTTATCACTTTGTTACTTGATATACTGGCAACTAAAACGGTTATGCAGTAATGCTGCGTTGATCTTGACTAACTGACAACTTTCCACTTCGCCATATCTTTCGGTATTTATCTCCTTGTCATAAGCGGAAAACGTGCCTGGTTATCAGTAATGGTCATGCTAACAGGCTTATGTAACAACACAATATTCAAGAAACGTAGATTTGAATGTTTCTTCGAAAAATTTTGATTTTCGAAATTTAGAAATCTTTAGTGTTAGCAATGGAAAGTTTATGCATTGTAGAATAGTTATTCTGCTATTTTGGGGGGGGGGGAAGCCTCGTTTAGGATACTGATCACTCATGAAGGTTCACTTGTGTTATTACAGTGTCATATGATCAGCTGAGGAGATTGTATCTCTGACTTAAATTACAATGGGTTTTTTTCAAAGTGTGAAAGTATTCAACTAGCTGCTTTTAATGTTCTTCTCTCTTTTCGAGAGGACTTCAATATAGCTCATGCACTCTACACTTTTATCTTCTATAATCTGGGTTGCAGTCTTGATTGGGTCTTTGTATCGTGTTGTTTTGGATGGTAAAGTATATCATGTAGTTGGTTTCAGTCAGTGATGATAAGTAAAGTTAATCAAACCATATGATATCTTAATTGTTTCATAGTATATATTACTTCTAGGTTGAAATTGAAAACATATTAAATCGTATCAAAAGTACACGTAAAGAAATAATCCGCCTGCGCAAAGTAAAGGCAGATTGGGAAAATTGGTTTCACTCGGTGAGAGATTTGCACAATGAGGTAATATTTTCTTTCTTTTAATTGTGTGAAGTGTTTCATGTACTATCTTGCGAGGAATGAAACAAAGTAATAAGCTCGGCAACCAGGACTTAAGTGTTTTGCTTTCTCCTCCTCCATGACAGACCACATTTCTTAACAGTTTCTGACATTTTTGTTAATCGTGTGAAGTTAATTTGCCTGTAAAACTTTCGAATACTCCCTTTATCGATCAGGTACTTCGATAATTTTTGGTAATTTCACACGTAAAACAAAGCTTCCAGCGAAGAAAATTTCTCTTTATGATAATTTTATTGATATATAAGTTGAGGTAGACAATTAATTTGGAATTTAGAGGTGATTTTGCTGACGAAATACTTAAGGTCAATCGGAAAAATATTCCATACCGTGTCTCTAAAACTAGCCTATTCCCGCTGCCCTTTCATGCATCCTTAATGCTAAAGAAATGTTACCTTGATTGTTCAGTTTGATGTACATCTACATATTCACCTACTCTTGTGCAACTAGGTACATACGACGTTCATCGAGAAATATTTCTTGTCGAGTTCGAGAGCGTCTTCCAGTATGGCTGAACAAAGGGGAATGTAGAGGTATAAATTCGTCAATCATTCAACATGTATTTGACTGACAACCATGCAGCTTCCGAATCATCATTTGATATTTATAAAGTCAAACTTATCGAAAGGTATACGCTTATACCTACTTTGAATCACATAAGCCTTTACGATACATAATAAACCAAAACTATATGGGCAGAAACAGTTTCTATGGTCTCTTTCAATAACCTGAACCTGGCTTAACATTTGGACCACGCGGTTCTTACCATTATTATTATTGTTACTATTGCTATTATTATTTGTTCCTTTGGTTCCTAGGAGAACATAAGGCTTCACTAGCACATCACCAAATCACTCCTTTCTCTGCACTCTTTTTAACCTGACTCCACGACTGCCCAGAAGCTTTCATTTCTTCCTCTCACGATCTCCTCCATGTCACGCATGGCGCCCAACTCGTTGTTTCCCATTTCGGTTCCACTCGAGGGCCTGTCATTTGATGTCCCCAAATGGTATTCTCAGTGTATGCCCAATCCATCTCGACTTTCTTCTTCAGCATATTTGTTGGGCGATAGGTTGTTGGTTGGTTGCCAGGCCAGAGTTCCTTGTTGCTCATCCTTTCTGGCCATCCATCTGATCTTCAGTACTGAGTGAGCGTAGACGGCATCTGTTGATGTGTGTCTGTAGTTTGTTGGAAATGCTTTTCATAACGCGCCAATCATACAGAGGCAACGAGTTGACTGACATTAGTGCTGAAAATCCGGATATTGTTCACGCATTATGCTGAGTGAGTGCAGTAAATCTCCAGACTGATTTCAGATTAATGAAGGAAGGCTTGTCTTGCTTTTCCGATCCTGGCTTTGACATCCTTATGTGTGCCTGTCCCACCACCTGTAGTCGAAACGATGCTGCCTAGGTAGGTGAAAGGAACAACTTCCTTAGACTTGTCCCGTTGATGGTGATTGGTGCTTGTTGTTGCTGTTGTTGGTTGGGTATCTTCATCACCTCTGTCTTACCTATGTTCACCTGAAGTAAGTCCCGTCTTCCTTCGCTGCCCTGCCTCGCCTCGCCTCTTCTGCCAACCTGTTAGTTTTCGCCTGTAGATCTTCGAGTTAGTGCGACATTAGACACTAGACATAAATCATCATCGGCGAAATCCAAATCTAGGAACCCAAGGAACAAATAATAAGAATAAAATGGTCCCATTATGATTGAAATCGATTTTTGATAAATATCGTCTGTTAAAACTGGCCGTTACATGATAAGTTCAAGTTCACGGTAAAATTTTTATATTTCAATAGATTATGCACTTTACTTTCAATGGCAGGACCACTCAATTTGTTTCTGTGCGCAGTTACGGTTCAAATCCACAACAGTGTTGTTAAGTTCTCATTTGTTGAAACGCGTTGAGGCCACAGTTTGCTTTCATTTGTGAACGTGTTGTAATCTACGTGCTTACAAAATACTTTTTTTCTTAATTTCCTTTCTTAACCTATGAAGTACGATATGCTTACCGACATAGTTTGTATGTTGGGTTTGTCTGAAGGTAATTCTGAAGATAAGCCGTCAGATAATCCTTTAAATGGTCAGGAATTCGGTCAGCAAGGATTACTTCCTCAGCTTCAAGAATTTACGCTTGCGAAATTTGCTCCCATCGTAAATAGGATACCTGTGGAAGGAATAAACCTGAGTGGATCATTTGACAGCAAAAATTTACAATGCGATCTACAGCAGCTTAGCGAACTTGCTTCTTCGGTAAGGGTTGATATTCAGCACAATGTTTCATATGCTTTATTCACTTTGGTTCAGTTTTCCATAAACTTATTGTTAATGTATCCGGTACGCAATACATTTTTTGCTTGCTGTACTCTGAGTCAAATGTGTGAGGGGTTATTATGCTACCTGATTGCCCAGACTAAAGTAGGTAGAGTGGTTTTTAAAACCTGGTACCCGTTGCCTGGAAGCTGAATGCTTCAGTCAGTTATCCACTACTGGAAAAACATTTTCGCTTGTCGCTTTGTTTGAATTACCTTACTTCTTGGTGTTCTACACAAATTTTCTTTGTCATAAATACTTCTTATGATCCAAAAACGATAACTGGTGATAGTGTATGTATAAGTTTATCTAATCAGGTGGAGTTGTGGCTTATTGGTTTAGGGAAATGATTACCAACCAGTATGTCATGGGTTCGAACCCCTCTCCATCTACCGAGGTTTGGACAGCGATGAAGTATCACTAGGCCTCACACAATAAATGTGGCTCATTGTCTACTGCACGAATGTGCACAAGGTGGCTGGATGCATTAAATTAAAATTAAAAGCAACTGTTATATTCATCTTCGTAACCAGCAGTGGAATCAAGGAGGTCCCTTTCATCCCATTTGGGACTCATCAGCTGAAAATACCGACACCCCAGTGAGTGATGTTGTTCCTGCTGAGACTCCAACCCAATAATCATCGCTGCAAACGCCAGTGTGTTATCCACTAAGCCACTGGGACACGATGGCCGCCTCTTGTGCAAGGGCTGTCAGTTATTGTCTGGTACTTGTGTACAACTGTGTCGCATGACCGCAACGCAACATAATTCATAAAAAAGGAAATAACTCACTTTGTGCGCAGAGGATTAGGGTAGCGCATAATGATTGATCTCACATAACATGCAATTTTTTTGGCAACCATGAGTCGTACGGAAATGAGTGGTAAGTCAGTAAAAGGTTATTGTACTGAGCTATATAATAATAATTATATCCGACTGTGGTCTAAATTTTCATTTCACCTTCAATCATCAACATCCAGTATAAGTACTAGTCTGCCGAACCACCGCTATCTCAGATAGTCAGATTGGTAATCAACATTATGCTCTTCCTGGTGAGCAGTCGAACCTCATAGCTCAGTTGGTAGAGCATCAGGCCGGAAACCGGTGGTCGCTGGTTGGAACCCGGTTGCGGTCCGAATTTCCATTTCACCTTCAATCATCACTACCCGGTATCAATAATAAGACAACCATTACGTAGAAAGTACTTTAAAATAAATAGAAGAATACATCTGATAATACTCCTGAGAGATTGTTATTTGGGTTTCTTGCGGTCCGTTATTAAAACAGCGAAGAAATAAGAACACTGCCGACTAGCATTGTGTGATACAATGCTAAGATTACCTAAAGGCTACCAGTCATGGGAGGCAAATCAGTTGATAACGTTGTGAACCGTCACTAACTAGAGTAGCTTGGATATGTGTTGCGCAGGTTAGACCACCCCTTACCTCTACCTGCAACTTTTGCCGACATAGGTTCAGGTTGCAGAAAGGGTCAATGTGGCCTGACCTAAATGTGGCATCAATCGATGAATTCCCTTACTGCTCGTGTAGACTGTTTAGGGTTGGAGTCGTGGAGTCGATAAGAATCAGTTGTTGGAGACTTGGTGATGTTGCTAGAAATTAGTCAAAATGGTGCAGAGCTTTCCCCCACTTATTAGCGCCTTCTGTAGTTTGAATGTTCAACCTCCAAATTATTTCTCCTCCCATACACTTTTGTCGATTTTGCTACTATTCTTTTCCTACTCGGATTTTATTATAATATCATTAAGACACAAACTTAGTAACAAAGAGAGCTCTGAGACATGAGCCACACAAAGTGGTAAAGCAACATCATATCACATGATATAAATATGAGCAATAAATTATGTCTGAAACGTTATCCAGTAAATGATACTGTTTCAATATGTGGCATTTGTAATAAACAGACTTAAATGGGATTAAAATCTACCATAGTGCCAACCTTTTACTCCTATATTAATGGCTGCCACTGGTTTCCATTCCGAGCCATTCCTGCTATTGTCTGAAACCGCTGAGTTGCATGATCCCTCGGATCCCATCCAGGGAGTCGTAAGGCACCTACAGATACTAATCGAACACAATCATCCATCATCCAACGGTGCCATTTCATGCAATAACCACCTCTCTGCATCTTGCAGGGCAGGCGAACATTGAGCGGCGTGATAGCCTTTGGATGACATCAGGAACTCATGTCCTAGCCATTGAAGCCAATGATTCCTGATGACCACATTAACTGCATGACTATCTTCATCACACCTAGACACACTATCTCACCTCAGAATTACTTACATGTCGTTTATACCACATATGAGCTGGTTGAAGTGTGGCAACTTGAACTACTGCACTTTTGTTCCAGATTCTACGTCGATTTATTTATTTGTTGTTTGTATAGCCATTCTTTCAGTGATTTGCCTTATGTAACTGGCTGGTCAAGGTATGTAATGATGTGACTAAAACTGTTAGTATCATATAAGGACCGTCAACGCAGAACCTTAATATCTAGTTTACTGTCGAAGGTGAATGTGTGGAAATAGCTACATACGTCAGTCTGCATGTGGGATGGATATAAACTGAAAAGGAATATTTCCTTTCAACACCAGTATAGCTGCTTAACTTTTATCATCTTTAAGTAGCGTATTCATACATAATTCTCATTTATTATCAATAATAATACGTTATTTCCCCCCTTATCATTAGTTAGTATCGTCGATGAATATCCGAACGTTCTCTTTATTTATTTACTTGCCACCTTTTACGATAAAGATTTTGATTATTGTATTTAAAAAAAGCGCTTGCTGTAACCATGTGTAGTTGTTCCATGTAAAGTATTCATCTCACAGACAAACAGACATAAACAACATATCAATTGGTCTAATTGCCTACCGTCTCAAGTTTTTACACTTTATATCAGAGAGAAAGTTGATAAAACAAAGAGGAAAGAAAGGATTCATCCCAAACAAGTAAGCGGTGATGACAACAGAATAAGCAAATAGAATTGGTAGATTATGCCTTCCAATGTCCAATTTGCTTCTTGTCAAAATGTAGATTCCAACACTACAGTATTCTATTTTCATACAAGTATCTTATTGATAGAGCCGTGCCTGTATAGTGGAGACAGTAAAGTTTTATCCAGTGGATCACGAGTTTGAACACCGACCCATCTAACGAGGTTCGGGCAGCCAGCTAGTCCTCTCACAATATGTATGACTCATCGGCAACTGCATTTAAATGCACAATGTTATCGAGCGCGTTTTTTAATGCATCTTATTGATGAAGGAACGTGTTGGTTGTAGTCTAGTCTTATCTCTCTATAGGGTGTGTCTAACAGACAAACTAACACTGGATTATGGTGTAATGTAAAAAAATAACGTAAAGCTTAGGCACTGTGGTAGAATGTAATTCCATTTTAGTTGATTTATTAGATATATCACACAATGGAACAGTATTGTTTACTGGATTACGTTTCGAAAACAGTTTATTGTCTATAGTTGTATCAAGATAACTCCACAACTTTGAGACATAGTTTCTATAGTTCTAATCGAATCAACACCTAATACATGGAACGGGAATGACTCAGCACCTGTCCCGAAGGTACATAGAATCCTACTACCTATATCACAAAGGTGACAAGAAAATTAAAACTTTATAAACTATGTCTCAGAGTTGTAGAGTTATCTTGATATGGGTATGGATAATAAATTGTGTCCTAAACTTAATCAAATAATACTATTCAACTATGTGATACATCCAATAAATCGCGTAAAATAGAATAGGAGTGTTATTACATAATTCGCAATCTCCATATATCTAAGTCAACCTCTCAAGCCATACTATTTTACTTATTTAATGAGAAGAAACAAAAAAGCATTTCCAGTTTTTTTTAAGTGTCAGATGATCTATGGGAAGTATTTGACAAAGTTTTAAATCGAGACGTTATTTATTTGTCCAATGATGTATACATTTAAATTCAGTCATCAGGAAAGACAAGACGTGGTTGCGGTGAAGAAAAACTTTCTTTTCGACAAAGTCATTTACTAAGCTGTTCATTCATGAATATATGTTACAGTGGGCAGAACGTTCCAGAATTATTTCCAGTCAGGAGGCAAAATATATTGACTAACTAAAGGAAGTTAAATTAATACACATTTAGGTTTAGAGTAGGAAAATAAACAAGCGATTATGAAAATACATGTTTAGTTACCTAAAACAGGATGAATCTATGACAGTAAAGACTTTATGATGGCCATGGCAAAGATAATTGTTGGACGTACCTTTTATTGATGCATAAAGCTGGTCTGAACTTCTGCATGGCTAGCGCTTGAGCTATAGCCAAATGACTTGATCCGACCGCCTTCGATTAGTTTGATCGGATCTTGTAGAGGATTTTGGATGAGCTCCCAATGGGAGCTAAGTGGTCTGAGTTCACAGGGTGTTATGTTGTTGAACCGAAGATAAATTTCCATTCTCCCTTTGCCAACCAGGTTGGTTAGTGTTTGCGGGCGGGTTTTACAAGCGGACGCATAGTACGGTCGATGTATTTTTCCACTCTAAACCCAACTATGTATTAATTAACTTCCTTTAGTTATTCAATATATTTTGCCCCTTGACTGGAAATAATTCTGGAACGTTCTGCCCACTGTAACATATTCAGGAATGTACAGCTTAATAAATGACTTTGTCAAAAGAAAATTTTTCTTCACTGCAACCGCATCTTGTCTTTCCCTAACATCTACATTCTTTGAATCGTTAGTTGTTAGCCTTTTTTTCAGTTAGAAACTAATCAGTTTGATACTTCTCACCAGAAAGTTTTTATCTCTATAAGTCTTTATAAAAGCTGTATTGAAGATAATGCATAGATTAACTCTGAAATATTCCTCAATGTTAATGTTGAAAAGCAGTCAATGACACACTATCCCAACATGCATAATGATAGCTCCAAGTATTCGCTTCTATGTGCAGGACTAATTTCCTGATTGAAGTGTAATTATGCTTTCTTGTTTGTCCACATGGGAGAAGTTACATAAGTTGGTACTCATCATGAACTAACATCGGTTGAAGCAAGACTGAAAACCTGCGAGCACTGGACAGATGTTTCGTCCTAGTATGAGACTCCTCAGCAGTGCGCGCCCATGAACCCGTGACCTTCAGGTTCCGTGGCCAGCACGTTACCATTGAGTCACTGGGTCAAAATCCGATGGTCCACATTCCTAACTTCTGTCAGTTCACAACATGGTGCAAACATCATCCAAAATGATCGTTGAATATTCGTCTTCGTGGCCATCAGGTTTACTCCACTGGTCACGACCACTAGATCATTGGATTCCGACCCAGTGGCTCAATGGTTATGTGCTGATCACGGAACCTTAAGGTCGCGAGTTCCATCCCTGGCGGGGCGGGGTCGTGAGGGTGCACCGCTGAAGAGTCATACGCTGGGACGAAACATGCTGTCCACTGCTCCCAGATTTCCAATCTTCCTCCAACTAATGTCAGTCCATGATGAACACCAACTCCAAAAACCTCTAGATCCTCACAAGCCCCCAAATTCAAAAGTTTTAAGTATGTATATAACACTTTCTCCTTCCATAATGACGTCAGTAGTTAACTTCTCATATTGGTTTATACACTTTCATTTTAGTTTTCTAATGTTAGTGAAGAAAATATAGTTGGATTTGAAGTACTTGCAGATGAAGTAAATTGCGTGGCTGATAATATAGAAACAGTCTATCGCGATAATATTAAACACTATGAAAAATTATTCCAGTGTTTAAAAAGTTTTCTTCTTCAAGCATCATTGATATTTGAACGGATCGAACGTGAATGGATGAAACAGATATATTAACTACCTTTATTTTATCCTACAATAATTAACATGAAACAAAAAACTTAGATAATTCCCACTGCTTTCTATGCTTAATTCATTTCTGATAACATTCAATCAAAGTAAACGTGTTTTTTTTCTCTCTAAAAACCACTTTGACTGTTCATAATATTCTTCTGCAAAATTTACATGCAAAATATGAATGTACTCATTGGTAGATAACATGGGAATAGATATGTATTAATTATTGATTGAATAACTTGTCTACCATGTTATCTATTTATCATTTGTATATATCAGATTTGTTTTCAAGCGTTAACTATATAACGAGAGTCTCATGGCCTGATAATTTGACTGTGTTGCCTAGTAATAGTGTTCTGGCTTTTCTTTCGATGTGATTTTGATGTGTATAAAATTTGTATATATGTTTTCTAGTACCTCAAATATTGTCTTATATCTAAAATGATGAAAGTATTACTAATCCGTTGGTTGTGAATATTGCATATTTTAGAATTACTACTTCATCTAACTGCAATTAGGTCAAGAATTGAAGAATGTTGATCGTGTATTGATAGATTTCTGAGTAGAACTAATCAAAATAAATCTGTATACAATGACTTCATATATGTATATAATGGAATAATATCCACTCGAATTTTTAGGGAGTTGTGGAGATTTGGAAATATTTCAAGTTGTTTATTCATCGTAGACTGACATCAGCTGGAGGAAGAGAAGTTGGAAATATGGAGCATTGGAGTGTGACCCAGTGGCTGAATGGCAACGCGCTGGCCGCGGAACCTGAAGGTCGCGGGTTCGATCCCTAGTGGTGTGGGGTCGTAGGTGCGCACTGCTGAGGAGTCCCATACTAGGACGAAACAGCTGTCCAGTGCTCCCAGGTTTCTTTTCTTCCTCCAGCTGATGTCAGTCTACGATGAATAGCAACTTGTAATATCCATTCATTTATGTCACCCGTCCAATGTTTCACATTTCTAGACTTAATGTTAAAGGGAAGGGACGATAGTCAGTTCACTAACTTTAATCGTTGGGCACCTCTTATTTGTAAAAGAAATCTCATTCACTTACTATGTTCCAGAATCTATAAAATATGTTCAGAAGACACAGTGGATGTTGAAATTGAAAACAATACTATCAAATAATGGGATATCCTAAAAGGTTTATTGATAAAAACATGAAGAAACTAATCGTCCCCTAACCTATTACAGTTCCTAAAAAAATTGTGAATCTGGAATTTAAAGTAGACACCACAGCCGAAGTACTATAACGCCGCCTGTCAAAGAGTTTTGATAGTGCCTTGTATGCTGCTAGATTGAGATCGATTTTCTCTAGCTGTCGTCTAATTCGATAATGCATGAAAGGATAGGCTACCACTTATGTCCACATCTATGTGTATCTAAAATTCACATACTTCTGTGAAGCTGATTATATTAGATGTAAGTGGGCCCTTCGAAAACGTGTTGCTGAACATTACCAGGTTTGGCTTAACAAAGGTGAGCGAAGAAAAACAACTTCATCTGTATATGAACACCTGGTAGAATTAGGTCATTCAGCTCCTCAAGATTCATTCTTTAAGGTAATTTACAGAGTTAAATTGAACTACTCCAAAAGTGTACGTTTCCATCACTTATGCATAGCTGAAGCATTAGCCATACATGAACAAAAACTGAAACTTTGCATTCAAAAACATTTTGTGAAACCACTCTCTCCACCTTGGCCTTAGCAATTCATTTTTGGTTGGTTTGTCAATTTCACTTCAAATTCTCTTTTATTATCACCATTTTTCACTTCATTAACAGCAGTCATCCCTTGTCTCACCACTTGTTATCATTTCATTCCTTATTCAGTTACTCATTTTCTGTTCCTTTCACTTGAACAAATACCGCCACCAACACCTATTGTATATTTTGCATATTGACTGAGCACCTCATTTTAGTGCAATTATCTGTCAGTTTACCGATTATAAATATGACTGTACAGCTTGATATAATGGAATGGAGCACTAAAACGGAAACAAACAACAGTTTTGATAGCTGTAAAAATGAAATAGTGTGGGAGAGAATAGGTACAGGAAGAAGAAAAGTCAGTAAGTACTCTTAACCAGATGACTTTCTTCCTTACTATAGTTTTCATGGGGAAAATATTACTTCAAAAACTTGATATACTTGAAAGAGAAAAAAATCGACTACGAAGTATGTACACAGGTTTAAAGAACAGAATTGTATATTGAAGCTGAGACTAAGGGTACGATACACTTTCATACCATTCCAAATTCAGTTGCAAGGCTATAAAATGCCTAAGTTTTTGCTTGAAACAAATGTATAGTTATTTTGCTAACTTTTCGTGATCTGAGGCAGATGATAAACCTTAGCATAATCCTGCGTATATCTTCCTACGCTACTGATTAGTCTCTATGCAACCAACTCTCCCAGAAAGGATCTGATTCATCGTAGCACATTGAGCTGTCATAATAATTGAACTGTGAAGTTTTTACTTTCTATGGTTTCATTCATTTGAAATGTGAACTTGGTGGAGTATTCGCATTAGATATACCGTCCAATGTTTAGATCAATCTGACCTAGCTGGCGAAATATGCAGATCACTATGAGTAGTTTCTAGCTACTCAAATTGTTTAGTAGTATATTCTATCACTTCATGACACTTGTGTCAGAAATCACATCTGATTATGGCTGGTTGGTTTCCAACGGAAACCCTGTTGACACCACTGCTGGGCAGTTAAGAAACTACTTATTTGTGAAAAATATCAACGTGGTCTGTCTAATTTGTAAATCACTCGCAAATTAATCATCCTATTTAAGGTGTACCAATCCATGCAAGTCAGCTAGCCAAACTCAACCCGGCTCTGCGAGCTGAATTTGTTCGCGTACTCCACTGATGAGCTCGGCTCTAAACAAGCGAAAGGGCCATTCAGTTTTAAAAATTGCTCCGATCTGACTGTCGAAATCCACGTATGTTCAGTAGCATATTGCATCAAAGATGCACTACACAAAATAATCTGAAGAATGTAGAGGGAAGGTAAGAAAGCCAATAGGAGACTCTTTCAAAGAATTATCAAAACCTTCGTTTAGTTTATCGATAAAAGGCGAAACAAGAAAGCTACAGCATAACCGTTACTCGTTTTTAATCTAAGCTATATTTGATAAAATTTCGAGCCAAAGTCGTCTGGTTTCGCGAACCTCACCCATGGAACCAAAACCATCCTTCATCCCACAGCACCGTGACTTATACTGGCTGCCCCTGGTTTTTTTTTAGATATGGCTGCTAAACGATAGGCAAGGCACTACGACGACGTTCTTAACATAGGTCCAAATCGCCAAATCCTGTGTTCCAAGATAACACCAATCATTTAGTGGCGGTCTCCATCATACACGAACGCACTGACGCCTATTGGGATCACCTTTATGACGTTTTCACCGGATATCAAGAACCATTTGAAGGCAACGCTGACTAAACACGCAAATTTGACGAGTGTTCTCATCTCAGAAGGGTCATGTTTCACAGACGCACGGGAATCTGCCCAAATAGACACATTGTGCATCCTATCTTGTACTGAAAGATTAACGTCACGACAGCACCAAAGTTGACCCAGATCGGTCCGTGTCACCAACTTTCAGAAACGTTATTAGTGTTTAGTCACCACCAATAATCATGGGGTAAATTTAATAGGGTTGTTGCAGACAGGCTGCTTCCAGTTTCATAAAGACACTCACCATACTTACGGACACTGATCGCTGACTGATTAAATACGACTCGAGTAGCTTGAATGTTTTGACACATTAAGATAATGCCGTTCATGTAGGAACTCACTTCTCATGGACCAACTTCTTACACGCTTTGTAGAGCTTGTGAAATACGATAGCAGCCAATATTTTAGCCGTTACTGGCAGAAGTATCTCACCTCCTACAGCAGACTGGAAATATAGTGGCAGCTTTGTATTTCGAGCTTCGCCTCTATAATTCGACGGGTGTTAAATGACTATGCAACACAAAACTTTACTGGGACGCTAGTCCAGTTTTTCGCGAAGTGCTTCGTCTGACATACTAGATGTCCTTGAAGATTGTTGATCAGCATACGGCTTAGTTCACTTACAACGAGCTAGTTGCTACCGCTGATTTGTATGAATTAAAACGAGTTCCAGTTATTTAAGAATTGAGGCGTAGGCAATAAACAAAGGTCGAATGATAAGACTATAATAAAGGCCAGAATAACAACGTAGATCAATGGAACATAAAATTAATAGTACCTAGCCTTGGAGCTTACCAAGATGGTTTAATGTGATAACAGACTGTTTTTGAATAGATGGGTGACGTTTATAGACACCCTAGCAACCGATGAGACAGCCAATTACATTCCTTTACTTTATGGAAAGTACTTTTCCAAGCGAAATACCGAAACCTGACTATCATTCAGTTGTTGCTAGGGTGACCATTAAAAGTATCTAATATACAAAGGTGGCTTAAACCTTTAAATCTCTAGTGCTTCGACAAACTGTAAAACATGCGGAAGACATGTTTTATGACAGGCCTAAATGACGAACGTACATTCATTCTAGGCTTCGTCCCAGTTATAGGCTTAGTAACCGAGTGGTAACTTTAAAGAACACCCTAGCAACGGCGGAAATAACCAATTAATTTTCGGTCTTCCAGCTAGAAAGGGAGTTTTTCATAAAATACAGCAGCCTAGTTCCCTATCGGGCAGTTGGAAAAGGTGACGTTTAAAGTCTTTCGAACTAGATGTTTGCTCGCAACATTTATCGGACCAACCAACACTGTTTTTGAAACCACCTCGGAATTTGTTCCGTGACCATTTGTTTTCAATGACCAGTAAGTCCTCCTTATGTATGTATGTTCCCGCATGCATTACCACTCTGAGTACAGTGGAATTTAACGCTAACTTACGCCTGTTCTGATGGCTTCTATGAGTATATATGCTCCAAACATTCCGTTATCTGAACCTTAGCTGCATAATGTTTTATTGATGGCTATCACGTAATCTGCATCACCAGTGTGCAATAGCTTGATGAATGGATCTTTCTTTGTGACAAAGTGGGTAGTGTTCCTCAATGTCAGCCTTCGTACCTGACCTCTTTTTATTTTCTCACCCCTTATCTTCATGAGTTTTTATATAAATACTTATGATAAGTATGTGTGTGATCAGATTGTTCGAAATGTGTTGCGCAAATACATTGCACGGTTCAGACAATTTACGTCTTCTCATTGTTTTGTCGAAGTTTATAAAGGGAACTAATTGTTTTAAATACAACAGTTCGTAAAATGAACACTGCCAATTCAATATTTGTCCTTAGCATCTAGACCTGCTTGAACCTTGGGCTATCAAAGTTTTCCACCGAACGAATACTTCAAACTCTTTGGTTTCAATTTGTTTTAATCATTTTACAATGTCTTCTAAACGTGCTATGTACTCTTACACAGTTTTGAAATATTCTCA